CGCTCACGCTATCGTCAAAGCTTGACACATCCGAAAGATCCGCCTTGGCCAAGAGGCTGTATGCGTTGGGCAGGTGGGGTCTGGGTCGAGCGCTCATTCACCGGTTTTTGTGCCTTGCCCACAGGCATAAGAACATAGCTGGGCGTCTTGAGCACGAAGCGAGCCCAAATAAGCCTTGCCCCTGTCTCTACACCTGTTCTCTCCAAGACTGGGCACTCGCGAGGATCGTGCGTAATCTGAAGCAGGTCGGTTGATGCTGAAGCGTCCTCAGTGTCGATGGACTCTGCAATCATGTACGTGTTCCTCAATCCCTTTGAGCTATCGTTGATGTTGAGAGGCAAGTGAACGAAGAGCAAATGTTCGCCTGAGTCGTTTGCGCCAAGGACGAGGAAACAAGGCGGCGAGTTGTTCTCATCGATAGAGAGGTCCCCAAGAGATTGTTCGTGACCAGTATCCACGTCGCGCCAAGTTAAAACGAATCCGCGAAGCGAGACGAACTCCATGTCCGAATGCACTTGCAAAGCACGGTATGCACCATTTTTGGTTCGAGACGTGAAAGTGACTTTCTCCATCTATTTAAGAAGAAAGAGTATTAATTGAGAGCTCTATGGCGAACCCTACGAAAAAAAAAAAAAAAAGGCCGGAATAGACAGAGTTGAAAATGAAAAGCCCTCACGCGTGTCTGCGGTGAGAATCCCACCCACCCAGGCTTTTACAAGCGCATTGCTTGCGAGCAGCCTTGACTCGAGCACTAGAAGTCTGACACCAAATCATCTAGTCGACCATTCCACCCACGAAAGTGGGTGGATGGTGGGACGAACGTCGCGTCTTAACCATCCACTGCGAGTTCAAGACATAGCGTGCCGGATATAGTAGGATGATCTACTGATCCGACTCGCTGGTCAACTGAGCAGTGAGAAGTAAAGACCGCCGCAGATGAAAAGGCCGACGTGCCTGAAAAGCATGAAAGTCCTGAGCGCCGATCCCTGCCAAAAGAAACGAGGTGGAAAGCGAAAAGAACAATATACATACCACAATCAAGAAGAGTAGTTCTGAGGGTTGAGCAAGCTGAAGTGTTGACAAGTGGAGAGTGGGCGAGGATGCCGTGCAGAGAGGCAGATCTGGCAGAGCGGCACGTATTTAGCGAGGTACCCAGTGCCCCGTGCGCGCGCCAAAAATGTGGCTGGCATGGGCGCGTCAGGGGTGAAGGCGCGTGGGTGCCCATCCACCTCGCCTCGGCTACCCTGTTATTACCGTGAGTTGTGCACCCCTCAGCCGTGCCTCAAATTCTTGTTTTTCCACTAATTAATGTCCCTCGCAGTTCTTACGGAGCTTGCGAACGCAAGGGGGCCATACATTGCTGCCGTCTCTGATCATTGCATTGGTGTGAACCTCCCAGCGGAGATAGTGGCCAATGCTGCAACAGCTGACGATACCCTCGCAGCGACAGGATTTTGATGAGAGAGGCAGACTCCGAGGCAATTGGCCTCCGCGAAGTTTAAGAGTTATCGGCTTCCATTGCCGGATGCCCAGATTGTTAAAGAGTGGCCGGGGATGGCGCGGGGCGGGACGACACGTTACACGGTCGCATCGCGTGATGAGCGCGTCGACTAATGTGCTAGCGCTCGGTGATAAAGCGCCAATTCCCCGAAACCAATTGGGAAAGCCCTGGCCAATGAAACCGCTCGGCGCTACCGTGTCCCTGGCCAGGCACAGGTGCTTCCAAAGCCTGGGAACGGTCTTGCGCTCTTGAACCTAACACAGCACCCACAACACTGCCGACAAAAGCCATGATATCATCGTCTTCCACTAGCCAGCCAGTCAGCTTCAGTCGACAATGCCATGAGAGTAAAAGATGAGCCCTTGGGATGCGCCCTCGCGCACAGCTGGTTTCAACCATGCAGTAAAAAGAGAGGCTAAATCATCAGATCAGTCCTCCGCGAATCAGTGAGGACCAACACGGAGAATCTCTGGGCATCGTTGCGCCCTGACACTCCTCGGTTCTGCGGGGGCTCGCCGATCTTTAGTTGCATATGCACGTTAATCCTAGATAGTAGCATTGCGTCTCTCACGCCATTATCGGCATTCCCGTCATTTTCGTCGGTATCTTCTCGGTAAAATGCTGCGTGTAGATTATTGGTCGGACGCAGAGCAAACATCGAATCAGGATCACTCCGCAATACCCGCAAGGAAGGCTCCGCCCGCAAGTGGGCCTATCTTGGAGTACGCGGCGGTGGCATATGACTGGCCTTGCCCCATCTTCATTACTCGCTGGCGGCAGCCCAAGCCAGAGGACGAAAACGAACCAATGGGGCTGATGCGTGGTAAACCCATTGCGACAGATATCACAGTACAGCGGCCGAATGACACCCCCGATCTGTGGCGTAGAGTGCGCGCTTACAGCGCTAGCATGTTTATTAGACAAGAGAAACTGTGGGGCGCTTCGAAGGTGCGTCGTGCAGCTCGGATACGACCGCGCACAGAGACGTGTAGTAGCTCACCTGCTCACATCACTACTGCACGCTGGAGTAGATCTTTCCATTGTCGTCTAGTAATAGCGGAAGGCTTCTTCTTTCGTTCTTTCTACTCAAGCATCACGTCTTTGTCCGCTGGAAAGCCAGGTCCAAGCGCTTCTGGACCTCTCTCAGCTCCTCAGGCGTAGCCAAACACTTCCTCCTCCTGCCCAGTTCCTGATCGCGCGTAGCCCTAAACAATTCCCGATTCTCTTCTATGATTCTGACGTCCCAGAGACGCGACCCCCGGTGCTCTTTCCTCTCATCCTCCTCTATTTCTCTACGCCAGCTTTCTATCCTGACATTCGAGGTTTTGAGCCACTCGCGGAAATTACGGCTTCTTATTTGGCCCCTCGCTGGGTCTTGTTTGTCATCTGCAGGAGTAGCAGTGTCTGCCTGCGGGGTCTCAATGCAGTGAGGTCTGGGTGTCTTATTGTAGTCTTGTTCTCGGTGTGCGTTTTCATCAGTTGTAATATCCTATTCATCGAGTCAGGTCAACCTAATAAGCATAATAAAGCGGTCTTACGTAGTAGACGATAGTCACTTCCTCGCTTGTGGAAGATTCTGTGACTGGGATTTCCTCCAAATGCGGTAGGAGAGGAGAAGGAAGTGGTCGGAGAGCGCTTGTGTCAGCAAGCATATTGTTTGGAGATAGCGTATGAGAATCCATGTTGTCAATTAATCTTGCGGCTGTCTCCTTTGCACTACTCCTCCTTTTATTTATACAAAGCATGGGTTTCACTATGCGCTCAGCTTCCCTTACACGTGTGCCAGAGAAATGCGAACACACCATTTCATAAGTTCGCATGACCACGACGCGGGTTTTTCCGTGGCACTTGTTCATCCACGGCAGTTGGCAGGTCCCTTTGGGCGGATTTCCTGAACCAGTAGGTCAGTCTCTCCGGACCACCCTGTCCACCGGCTTCGTCTGCAATTGGTGAATCGCGAAGAGTCCTGAGATACGATGCAGAGAATCACGGCACAGTAGGGACACCTCAGCAGCATGCTACAACTGTGGTAGAGCGCGAAACGGTCTTGGCTGCAGTGGGTCGTGCATTAAAGGGACTGGGGTCATCGGTGCCGTCTGCAAGATTGCCAATTTCTGTTGCCTCTTTGGTCTCCAAGCCGTGCAGCTGATGATAAGCCCGAGACAGAGGCGCGGAGCAATGCATCTCAAGGTGGGGACGGTTTGGAAGATCGAAGCCATGGTAGGATCGCCGTGGTAGCAGCATGACGGTGTCATGTTGGTCTTCCTGCTTCCGTTCCGACGGAACCGTGGCATGAGGCTTGGCCGGGTCAATATGCGGTGAGCTCACTGTCTCGAAAGAGCGCGTGGTGGGGAGACTCGCGTATATAAGGGCTCACGTCCTTGTGGTGGCATCACGCCAAGTCAGCTCGCTAGCAAGACACAACCATCTTCATTCTTGTCAAATCAATTGCTACCAAACAATGAGCTTCTGGGGCCAGCTTGACGAAGTCATTCGGAGAGTGACGAAGCAGGAACCTGTAGTCTCCGTAGGCAGATCTGGAGCGTTGAACCCAAGCCGCCAAGGGGGATTTAGTGGCCAAGTCCATGGTCATGAGTTGCCTGGTAAGACCCTTTGCGCGATCGTACAGTCAAACTTCACAAAGTTTCCCGCTTTTCTGATTGAGTCAATCGATAGTCACGAGGAATACGCTTGACCCGACCTTGGTCGAGGAGTATGACATAACTCCAGTACGCGTGCTCGAGTTGTGGAATGATGGAGAACGCCAATTGGCGGCGCTCAACTACAAGGGATGGCATATTCATCCCGACCACTTTGACATCGTCGCGAAAGACACTGCCAAACGCCTTGCCAAACGCCCTTTGTATTCCGAAGAACGCATATTCAGTGCTATATCCATCAAGAAACTCCAGAAGCAGGCCTTCGGTAAGGGCTAGGCCATTCAGTGCTAGGAGACAGAGTGCTGATATAGACCAGATCAGAACGAGCTGCATAACCGTGATGCTACCGTGGACATGGGTGACGAAGCAGATGCTCCCGGCTCGCCTGTCGAAGACATCCCGCGACCGGTTGAAGCGACCAAGGGGGTCTATTTGGACCTCACAGATGGGATCAATGGAAGACTCAACGAGAAGCAACCCTGCAGTAAGAACCAAGTCATTCAGTTATAGGAGATGATAGGCTAATTTTAGATCAGATATGTCCGGCCTATACGGCAGTTTTACTACCGTGGCGGATGTGGATGACGACTCCCACTCGTCGCCGAACCGCAGTCTCGATGGCGAAGTAGATGCTGCTGACTCAGCATCGGACTGCAATCTCGATTGCGAAGTAGATGCTCTCGGATCGCCGGTCTCAGAGATCCCGCAACCGGTCCAAGCGACCAAGGGGGTCTGTTTGGACCCTATGGATGGGTCCAACCAATCAGACGATCGCGCTGGTGGTGCAATGGCTCTCACCGCAGACTCGAACCGGCCCGCACTGCCTTCTTCCCCTCTTCGAAGCCTGAGGACCCGTCATCGCGACAAAGCTGCCGGGGTGACACTTCAGGAAGAGCGGTCCAGCGGAGGCTCTATTGGAGGAAAAGTGCCAAAGAAGCGAAAAGGAGATGGTGTCGAGAGCTATGGACAAAAGGATGCACACAAGTTGAGGAAGGTGGCAGAGTGAGAGATGTGGGCTGCTTGGTCCTGTGATCATACGAGATGGTTGTTGACTACATAAGCTACACTACCTCAATATCAATGCATGTCGTATAGTCCTCTTGTTTCCACTGTTGGGGTTGCTCGCTCAGCAAGGTTGGCCACTCCCAGACCCAGTAAAGGGTGTACACGGTACCAGAAACCAGTTCAGAGGGTAACCATAACTCTATCCCACACCACAAGTCCCTGCCTTCCATTTCGGTATGCGCTCGCTGAGGCATAGCCTGCCGCCGTGCTGATTCCTGGCTATCATTGATCTGATAGCATGCACCGTCGTCGAACGGAGCTCTTGCGAGTAGAACACCTCGACCATCGCCGCCCGTCCCATCTTCGTTCCAGACGCCATGAATGCTTGTCAGGGTGTCATCCGGAGCAGAGTCATTTGTGCCGTAAACCCACACCGTGCCCGAAGATGGCTTCCTTGGAACATTGCCGCTGTTATCTCTATCTCGTAGAGTCACATGGCCGTTCTCTTGATACCTCAATAGAACTCTACTTGAAGCCGTCGCCTGCAACATAGGACTGTACGCTGTCACGTTTCTTGTCTGTTGGGTTGACTTACAGATAGGGTCTGCCTCAGTAATTTCCAAACGTCCAGCGGAAGGGATAAGATTCTGTATGGCAAAGTCATTGAACGCGGGGTTTGGGACAGGCGTGGGCAAGGGGAGAACGCGAGGCACTGTTTTTCATAAGCCCTTTGACGCAGAATTGGGCATCAGAATTGCCTTACCGTTTCCTCGAACATATCCTGCATCGCCGGTGATGCGCCCATCCTCGGTCAGCTCCCGCACATCGTCGACCCAGGAGTGACCGACAGATGTGCGTGTGAGACACAGGAAGATAGTAACAATGTATGAAAGCATTGTTCTTTGCATGCCAATGTGAATATGAACGATTGCCGGAGGCTCTATTTATATAAGTCCTCAGACGAAAGCATGTAGATGATGTGATCGGGCAGATGTTGGCTTCTAGATCCCTGAGACGAATGGACAGCTAATTGCAGCAGGAAGGAAGACGCGCGTAAGTTTAGCGGATGTCAGCAGCCGTTTGTACGGCGTAGATCCTGGAAAGTGACACAAAGCTCGATGATCGGAGACGCACTCCATGATTTTGGCTCGAAGGAACGGTGGGAAGGCAGGAAGCCGGTTGCGTGCGAAGAGGGCGGCGGGCGCATAATCGCCGGGCGCGAATGTGGTAGTATGGTGCCTGCGACATTGTGTCGCCAGACATGGGTGCCTAGCGCGGCTAGACGAGCCGCCGCGAGCTATTTATAACACATTACCTACTTATAAGTATTGTTTGTACAGACCCTCAGAAGACCAAGCCATCACATTACCACAGACACAGTTGATTCGATACCATCCCAACTTCTTCGCAGCCTGATATTAATACCCAGCGAAAATGGAGCCAAACCAGCAAAACAGCAACCACGAAGATCGCAGCCAGCAGGAGACCATGAGCCAGTCCGAATCTTTCGCTTCATCGGAGACAAGTTTTGGCCCTTTCATGCTCCCAGAATCCGAGAGTGGGGGAAGTAGCGGCTGCGCTGAGGCGTTGCCAACGGACAACGCAAATCTCCTCCCGCCAGATGAGGGCCATTGCGCCGCAACTATGCTCAATCTCGAGATAGCAGCGCATGCTCACACCGAGATGGCCCTTCATATGGCTTTTACCAAAGCTTCCCGTCTCGAGAGGCACTACACACATCAGTCAATCGTGCTCGGGGCCTGGCAAAACGCCTACCAAGAGTGCTTGGTGACAATTCAGAACCAAGCTGAAGAAATCTCTCATCTAAAAAAAAACAGTTGATGAACTCAAGGCAGAAAACAAGCAGTTGTTGGAAGGGATTGACTTCTGGCGTGATACTGCGAGGCCTGCTTCGGCGTAATCGGTGTGGGAAGGGAAGAGTTGTAGGACCCAGATTCCATTATGTATCTTAAGTAATGTAAAAAGAGCATGTGAACAAGGCAAAACCAACTCCAAATGAAATAAAGAAATGCTGAGTGAGGAGAGACACGCCCCCTTCATTTCAGACACCACCATCCTTCTCTGGGGAACCAAGAGAATCGACGACCTGGCGTAGGCTCCTTCGAGCCCATCAACATGCTCCAGAGATCTTGACGGCCCGATCACACAAGAAAAAGTATAGAGGAACGTCAAACTGGGAGTCTTCGGGCTTCATCGTTTCGGATTCATAAATAATCGTTGGCCTGCGAGTCGTAGAAAGTCTTGACGTAAGTGACTTCTCCGTCATATTCCAGGACTTGCAGCTCGTAAATGACTTTCTCAGGATCCGAGAGGTGAACGTATTCTGGAAAATCCGTTTTTTCGAATACTTCACACTCTATATCCGAAAACTCTCCCTGTTCCTGGGCCGATTCGTGTGGCACTGTTGGTGTGAAGGTTTCGCCCGCATTTCCGGAAGCGATCGTGAGGTCTTGGAGACAAGGCGACAGGGTGCATTGAGACACTGTCAAAGATGTCAGCCATGGGAGCTAGTTTCCACCTAAAACACTCACTTGGAGAGTCCTCAATTGGAGTCACAGGCTGGTCAGTTGGAGGATCTCCTGGAGCAGCAAGCCTCGACCAAAGACATTGATCGCCTGGTTGTAAATCATTAATAAGTGGCTAGCTGCAACAGAACTCCGTGGCTTACTGGTGGGTGACTCAGGAAGGGCCAGTTCCTGGAACTCCTCCATGAAGTCTGTCATGTCATCCTCCAGCTTCCAAATTTCGTCCTCAAACTCGTCCTCCGTCATCTGTACGAAAAAGATATTCAAGCAAAGCATGGTTTCAAAGTCGCTGAGTTGTCTTCAAGTCAGGAAGGAAGAGAAGGGTTGAGGAAGGTTGCGGGTGGGAGAGTGCTGCAGGGACGACGAGTTTATGTAGCCGTCTTTGAAGTGAACGGGCCAAATACGCCACAATCTGGCTTGTCCGTGCAAGGTCAAAGCAGCGTAGCTCACAGGGCACTGAAGCTGACGTCGACATCAAACGACTGATGTACAAGCTTGACCTACCGAGTATCACTTCAAGAAATAACTCCCCCCTATGAATTATGCGCTTGACTCGCTGATACGGCTGGCGATTAAGCTCAAGGAGAGTGCTGAGAGCTGAGACCACCGGTCTTCCGGCCAGAAAATCGGGTCAACGGATGGTAGTGCAGCAAAAGTAAATAGAAGAGCATCTCATTTCTCGCAGTGTTTAGGGCCTCTAATTCTACGTGTCAAGCATTTCCAGTCTCTTCAGCGCTACACAAAAGCAAAATGTGCCGGAGATTATGGTTGAGGGCTGGGGAACAGTTAGAACACAGAAAGGAAGTGAAGCCGCCGTCAGGAGAAATTACCTCGAAAGTCTTGGCTGACTCGATCAGAGACAGTGCACATGCATGGATGGACCCCTGCTTCGGTTTTTAGGTGGTGGAGGCTGAGTTGGCTTCGGGGTTCCCGTGGTGTCGTAGGCACCACGTCCATGTTGGAAGGTAGAATCCAGCGTCTTGTCATCTAACATAGCGGCGGTTGCTAAGTATGGGTAGCTGGGTGTAAGTGATGGCTTGATCATAACTCAGCAGAGGCTTTCTGATCACTTACTCTTGGGGTACTGTGCTGGTCTGTTCGATGGGATTTGCAACTCGCTTCTTGCGGCAAATATTTATTATTCAACGGTTGAAGCGTCCTTGTCCGCACCTAGTGCCTTCCTTCTGGTTTATGCATATATTCCGCCTGAGGCGCGTTTTCCCGCGCACATGTGCCAAGGGTCTAGATGGGATGTCACGGACGAGGCATGGTCTGAACTTCCTCATAGGCGCCTGTCACCTGGCGTTGGCCCACCCTTCACCGGTTCCTCCGATCTTGCATAGCTCCTTCTATGCAGGTGACGAGTCTGCCCTAAGAATCCTGAGTTTGAAAGCGCCGTACGGACAGGAAGGGGATCTGGTGCTACACTGTCTCTCTGCTGTCGATGTACGTGCGTTCGAAGAGTAATAATAGCAAGACACTTTTTCACACCACTCTCATGGTCCTGAGAAAGCATAGTATTTGGGGAGACAACCGGCGTAGGTACTCGAGGATCATCTCCGCGAGGCTCAGATGAGCCACACGAAACGAGGGCCGCGCAAACACCACATGCGTTCGTGCTTACCGTCATTACCGTCATTCCCTTCAAACCCGTCGGTTTCTTCTCGGCTCTTCGTGTTCCACATCGCTTGCCAGGACATCTTTCCGCTGCAGGCTCGGATGAGCGGCTGGAACATACACCTTTCCCGATGAAGGTTAGTGTGCCCTATTCGATGTACTCCACAGGCATTACCCGACGGGCGATCTGGAGCAAGTCGATGGCACCTTATCACAGGGCTACATCTCGCCATGGTCATAGAATGCAGGAGACACCCTATCCAGGAAAGTGCATCGTGGTGCTCAAGAGCCAGAGGAGCTGGTGCCAGAAGAGTATGCCCCGGGCGAGCGCTTGAGCGGAAGCATCGCCTGGTGCTGGTCGGGGAGTGCCGAGACTTTGAGCCAAGCTCTGCGCGCGTGACGGTTTTCGCCTGTCTCACGAATTTGACGAGAAAGAAGAAAATGGCGGGATAGACGGTGGCCATATCACCAGCGAATGGGATCGTGTGCCACTACCGCCTAGGCCCACTTTGGCGGCTACGTGGGCCTTGCGGCATCCTCGCGCCCGTGTGCCCCACTCAGCAAGGTTGTGCACCGGCACCGGCGTCAGCGTGCTGTGTGGTCGCTCAAAACTTGTCGGGAGGGGTACCCCACCTTGGCCAAGCATGAGTCACACCACTGGACCCCTTGGGCACAACGCATACGGATCGCCAGTTGGCTTCGACGTTGGTCGGTTACAAAAGCACTGCAAGGATTGCGTAGACGTGCGCTAAACCACTTCTTCCAGCCCGGTCATAAGATACTGCGCGCAGTGTTGCTCGTGGCGCGGCTGGCCTTCCACCGCGACTCCGCCGGTCGTTAACTTCAAGCTTCTAGCTTCAGCTCATCATGGGACGTTTCGACAGCGGATGGAAGGTGAGCGATATCAGAGAGGCTTTGGGATGGAACTTAGACCAGTGGAAACGATTCCAGGTGAGTCCGTCTACAAGTACTACTTTCCTCGTTCCGAGATGCTTATAAAGTTGGAGTATGTTACTGCACACACCGAGGTCGCCGACGACAAGTTCTGGGGAGGTATCTCCAAGCCAGAAAAGCTCGTCTGGGATAATGTACCGTTGGCTGTACGAACCGAAATCCGGAAGGGTGTGGAATCCGACATGAAAGGTGATGTCACCGAGGTCCCCCTCGACCTCCTGGAATGGCGTTACCGGCCGATCCTGCGCGCCAAATCAAGTGAGTCCACGGCGGCATCAATCGCGTTGCTTTTTATTGATGTCTTTGCTTCGGCAGAAAAACCCTTACCGTCTCAGTCAGGAGACCCGCCTGTGGTGACGCCACCCCCTCAGCCAGCAGAGCCGCCTGTGGCAGCCGCGCCACTTTCTTCGGCAGATGCATCGGATCCCGCTCACCCACGCTCTTCGCCATTTTGGGACCCTGTCGCGGCAGCAAGAGCGGAGAATAGGGATGACCGTCGCACGTGAACGGCCCGAAATACTCGTGACTTCCGATAGTTCCTATCAAACTGGCACTCCTTCTGGGGCTCTTCAGCCGGGGAAGCCTTTTGTCATTTCAGCTGAAGTTTACCTCATGAAATAGCTTCTCATTCTCCGTACATAGAAATGGACCCTTCGAGTTCAGCTTGCTCTAGCTTGTATACGTCAACTCTTCCCCGCTTAGTCGGGGTACAAGAACCCGCGATGCGTGCATTGAGGACAATGGTACCTGGGTGAAATTATTACGGGTCGTGATTTGGCCAGCGGCACAGCCAAGATCAAGGATATCGCTTACCCCTGTCCACCAGAGGCGGCAAAGTGGACATACAAGCGCCGTTTCTATGTCCACTTCGCCAACCCATATATGGATGTCTCTACGGGCCAGCGGCAAAGATGCATGAAATCCTGCACTCAAATCTTCATTCCGTTGCTGCGCTCACAATGGTCCCCGAAACAAGCTTCACATACAGCTGCTGCATGAACGGCTGGTCACCCCCATATCCTGAGCACCTCGAAGTCATGGACTGTTCGTACGTTCCCTCAATTGACAGGACCACCATCGTATTCCTTCTCGGTGGGAGGCAATTCGCTCTCATTTGCTCCGGAGCTCTCTTTCCGTCCACTGTTGCTGCGGTCGAGCTTTGGCCGCCAGGGCTGGAAATCAGATCAGTATTCCACGAACTCGCAAGACTGCTCCGGTTGGCCTGTGGAAAACAGCTTGCTACTTTCAGTCGCGAGAACTCAAGCCTTGCGGATGTCCTTCACGTTTGGAACGTGGGTGCCTTTGTCACCGATGGTAGGCTTCGAGTCGAGTCACCGACGCGCGGAAGTCGCGTTGATGAACTCTTCAGCGGAGTCGAGTATCAAGACGTGGACCTCCCATGGCACGACTGGGAATCTATTCAAGTCTTGGAAAAGATGTCAGACACGCACTTCTTGGTGTCCGTCCACGGGTCGTGTTTCGGTTGCTATGTGCCCGAGGGGGTGTTTGAATACGAAGCGTATAGCATTTTTTTTGGAAGAAGTGCGAGCGTGGAAGAGAATCAGCAACACACCGGGGATTCCTCAATCCATACCACGGCTCACAGGGCTTGTACATGCACAGTCCAGCCCATCCAAGCTCGAGGGCGTGCTTTACGACGCCATGCCTGAGCCAGGTGAACGTCAACGAAGTACCCATGGAGCAGAAAAGGGCATGGCTCCACCAAATCGAATTGGCAGTTGACTTCCTTCGTGCTGGGCGCGCCAGCTTAACGAGGAATGGCTGCAAAGGAAACATCGCAGAACGAATCAGTATCACAACCAACGGGGAAGTACGCTTGAGAATCGTCCATTTTGGCGGCGTCGAAAACTATCGAGGACCGCTGAGCTTCGGGCCTCACAGGAGAGCGGACTACCGGCTTCTTGCGGAGCTGCGAAGTTTTTTCAAGATCAACTACGGCACAATCGTCAAACCGGAACCTTTCAGGTTTCTTTGCCTCCCAGCTGAGGTCAGAAACAGCATATACGAAATCCTTCTCGTGTTTCCCGGTCGCACAAGGTGGATATGGGGCTACCGACACCAGGCGGACGCATCTGTGACGGCGGATTTTCCCAACGAGATTCCTGGACGTGGACTACTCAGTACCAATCGCCAGATACGCCGAGAATCTCTATCGTGCCTTATCGGTCAAAACCACTTTCATTTGAACGCTCTTTGGTTGGCATCGTTCCTGGAGAGCAGCACGCAAGTTGACCTGAACGGCAGTCTTGAGCGCGTGATGATTGGATCATACTTGAGGCGGATCACGCTCACCATTACCCTTACGTGGCAGAAGCACATCACACGAGAGCAGTCCAAGGGGATCAAAGCGTTAGTAACAAACTGCCCGAACCTGGAACATGTAGAACTTCTCATTCATAACAGATACACGTGGTATTGGGAGAGCGATACTCTGTGGGCTGATATTAAGAAGTTGCCTAATGTCCGACTTGAGGAGCATTGGGATGGTGACACTCTTGACCAGCTCGGCCTGAGCACCGCCTTAATGCTTGACTGAGAGGGAGAAGGCTGCGAATCAGAGAACAATGTCGGCTGGCAATGTATTTATTTTGCTTTGGTGGTTATGAACAACGCGGGAATGACATAATCTCTTGGCGGAAAGAACAAACACCAGGAGACAAATAAGCGAGAGGCCGCCGTTGCACGATCAAGGATGGAGTTGCCACGTTGCCGGCAGGGGCAATATCGCGCCTCCAGGCAGCAACTTGACCGGTGGAACCACAGGCGGCCTATATATGCCCGAGCTGCCCGTGAGAGACAAGCGCATCCGCGTCCTTTCATCGGCGCGCACTGACGGACACTGGGCAGTGTCAATACTGGTGACGTCATCACTTGGGCAGCATGCCAGCACTGGAGATAGATAGGCAGAGCGCGCGCCAAAGCATGTTGCCGGCAGTGTGCCGGAACAACAAACGGACCGGACGCCCCGCCGAGCCATCCATCACCCCGCCTACGCCAGATCTTCGCCATCGCAGCCTCGACGCCGCATCAATCAACGCAACGATTCATGCCGTGGCACAAGCCATGGCAGGCCAGCCACACCTCAGCGAGGTAAATCTGGGGCCGGAAGTCATGTCCATCTTGGAAGACATCTCAAAGGGTTTAGAAAACAGCTGGGATCGAGGAACGAAGGAATTACAGTTCGTCACGCAGTACGAGGGCATCCGGGAGCTGATGCTGAAGCTCGTAGATCACAGAGAGGTAAATCCGCCATCCTAAGAGAGGAACAAAACTGATAAGTGGTAGGAATTGAGAGGGAAAGACTTCCGCTTCATGCGATTTAAAACCAAATGTCTCTTCGAATCCCGCGAGCCAGTATATTTTTTCCCTCTCAGAACAGAGGCTGGAACCTCCCCATTGATATCCACTGTCACACTCGAGGTCGGAAAGCGAATATCCATAATACGCGATGAGGAGGTCACACCCGAGGTGGATGTGCTGGTGGTGAAGCAATGATCTTAGGATACTTCAGTGGCCGAGTCGCATAACTGCGCCCCAGAGAACCAGTACGTTTCCCATGGTGCTACCACTGTAACCTCGTGGCCTGGTGTGAATCCCGAGGGCATACGTGTACCTGTTCCCGCCAATGAGGTGAGCCCATATCCAAGTGCAACTTCTTGCGCCGCTGTTTGACCGGTATACCGTGTGACTTCGTCTGCTCTCTCTTCTTCAGTCGTACAAAGCCCTGCTGTGACGGGCTGCCCTCCTCTTTCAGTTCCTTGCAGCGGCGGTTGGCCGCTTTCAACGAGCAGAGAGGGTACCTGAGTTCCTTCAAGAGCTTGTGGGCAGGGGACTCCGAGCTCGGTTTGTATGCAATTTGGTTGGGCATCTGTTCGTGTTAGAATGCGCTTGATGGCGGGTGCATTTTCGTACCTTGCGATGTGGCGTGCCACGACGCCTCAGGTGCTTCTGCCATCCCCTCGGAGTCCGCCGTCCGCCTACGGCGTTTTCTCGTCCTTGTATTCTTCGGTTGAGCTTTGCCAAAGCGGGTGGTGTTGCATGGAACCGGGTGGCAGTCGAGCCTCTTGGACGCATTTCGCAACTTGCAGTTCGCTGGCTGCAATAAGCTATCTCCACGGAAAAGTTCACACATCGACTTACCGTCGTAGAGCTTCTGGCAGTCCTTCAGCCATTCCTTCTGCCCATCAAGCCTTCGGTACAAGTCTCCGTCCCGTTGCCGGAGTAAGTTTATGAACCAGGAAATATCCGTCTGCTTAATGCTTACGGCTTTCTTCCAGGTGAACGCGAAGATAATCGACACTCCGGGCGTGGCCTTCTCCTCGAACTCGAGGATCTTCTCACCTTGCATGATGTAGTGTCTGTATCTCTTCTTATCCAGGCCCGACCTGTCACAGAACTGCGACTTGTTGGCTACGCGATCGGTTGGGCTGTCTTTGAAGTCCCCGTACTCTATCCCCAGGCTTCGAGCAGCCAGGACCTTCCGGAATCTCTTCTCGTCTGATTGGCAGCCGACGCTGCTGATATCCGTAACGCGAACATCTTCATCCGCACTCCCTGGCTCCACATCAAGGGCTTCCTCAACCGGTTTTTGCAGGAAGTCGAGTATGTCCGAGCGGTGGAACTGCACAGCTTTGAAGAGCGTTTCGGGCGCCGGTCCGGGATCGACTGTGGGTTTACCCGTGCTCTTGCCCGAGTCAGATTCGGTGGAGATGTGTGTTTGCACCTGGAGATCGCATGGTTAGAAAGTGGAGCACTCGTGACAAAGATCCGCGTCAGTCAGCAGACATACAAATGAAAGCTTCGTCAGCCTGTCCACGAGACTAATAACATCTATTTCTAGTGATTGCAGTTCTGTATCGGACGCCGTTGTTATGACAGCCACGGACTCTGCCAGAGGCGAAGACAGCATTGTGGAGAGATGCTTTGCTGACAGCCGAAGTAGGGGGGCTGGCGAGGTCTCGGGTGGAAGCCAACAGCACTGCTTGGATTGATCTCGCTCAGACCCCGATTCCGCGTTAGCGCTCACCGTACTTTGCACGGTGCAGCCGTGCCACGCCAAACCGGTTTGGGGAAAAAGTGTTGCGCGCAACACTTTTCTCCCAAAATGTGATCCTTGCCGTCGCAGCAGACGCATGTCGCTTGCCTTGGAATCCTGGCATGCCGCGCGCATTGTTCCCATTGGACTCTAATACCCGGTCTCCCATGTCGAACCCAAGACGGCACGGGTGATAGACGCGAGACTAGCGGGCTCCACAAGCTACCTTGTGCGTCTGTATCTCCTACCATGCAAAGCGAAGTTCACGCGGCACGTCGATCACCCCCGGGGCTGAACGGCTTTGCCTGCCCCGGTGAATCTCCCATGGACAGTCTTGGAGCTCCATATGAAAGTGCCGTCACCCCATCGCTCACCCTGATTGCAACTGACAGTCAAATCCTTCTTTCAGCACTGATCTCTCCTTCCTGACCCGGGCCAGAATGTCTCCTTTTTCCGATGATGCGAAGGACTCGCAGCTATGCTCCTTTCTCCTCGAAGCAGACGTCTGCCAGGTCGGGTTACTAATGCGGATCGAGCTTCCGTGGACCCCGATCAGTGTCCTCCGAGACTGCTGCCAGCGGCAAGACTTTCGAGGAATGGTCCAGCCCTTGCAACAGCTGGGTTATCGAGAGGATACGAGACTCAAAACTTCCCCCTTCCCCCTCCTCCGCCATTGTGAATCTTGTAACAACCGAAAGTTCACGGTGACGTCAACCGCCTTCTCCTGCAACCATTGCATATGCAATTCATGCAGAGGTAAGAGATCATAGAGACCTTTCGAGGACTTAGCTGAGAAACAGACACGCCGTACTGCTTGAAATGTGGCCCCCGGTTTGCTCACGGCCTCGACGTTACTGCCCTTGACCTGCCGAAGACATCGGGCATCGTTTGGCCTGACCCCCCGATATACTCAAAATCTATCCAACCATACAACGCCTTCGTAGACGATGTAATCCAGAAATACGAAGCAGCACTCAAAGCCATCCCCATCGAGGCTCTGGTGTCATTTGCGCTCTGTGACTCAAGGGGCCAGATAGCTCCTTTCCTTGAGTCCTTACAGCATCTAGTGGATGTCGTAGGCGCCTCAGATGGAGCTTCAAGGTTCGCATGGGACCTTGCGTCAAAGGTTCGCACCTTGAGACCATTGATCCGATTGACGCTTACAACCACGTAGGTCTCGCAGAGGCAGCGTCTTCTATACCAAGCGCTGCAGGATGGCCTCCGATTTCAATCCAAAGAGCCCAAGCAGCTGGATCTAGGACACTACATCCATCGCAATCTCAATCCGATCCGACTTATGTGTCAACGCTACGGCCTTCCGGAGTTTTTGAGACGCATTCCCATCCTGTCGCGGAGGCTGACCCGCTGGGGCACATTGGACACAAATTTCATCGTTTTCGATGATATCGACACCGGTAAATTGGCGGGATGGGTACAAAGGTCTTTCAAGGTCATGCAAATATCGAGCAAGGTGGCCAACAGGGATTTGGCAGTTCGGCAATGGCGGGACAGACTGGTGGAGGACATAAGTGACATATGCGCGGAATACCCCGAGGCTGCGAACCAATTCATCGAAACTACCAAGGTAATCATGAAAAGTCCCTCCATGAGATATGCTAACGTATATCAGGCCTTGTTTGAGGCTCGCGATTTCTTCACCATTGGCGCGATTGTGGATGGGCTAGACGGACGAATTCACAGCGACGGGAAGCGCAAGATTCTTGGGCAAGCCGAGTTCCTCACCAGAATGAATCGACCGTGCATACCTCTTGCAGGAGAGAAAGATCGCCAGGGCTTCAAGGGGTATAGTAATTGGTGTATTGCCAACTTGCAGCATCTCACCGAGGTACTCTGTAAAAGATAGTTGAAGTCTTGTAGTTTTTAGGAACAATGTGCAGTCATTTACTTCTTCCCCGCCTTTGAGCTAGAATTTGAGCAATTTATCGTGTTGGATTCCAAGGTCCATGGCCATCTCATTGGCATCCTGAGACACGCAACCACTTTGGCGCTGTGGGTCCTAGGTAAAGTCGGAGAGACATGTATCATGCGGCCACCATTGATTTGGAAGCGCTATAGAATATGCGAGGCGGAGCTAGACTCATGCAATTTCCTCCTGTGACGCCAATGGCAAGGGCCCAGGCTGTTGTGGCTCACGGCGGAGTTGCTCGATTGGTTTGTTGGGCTTGCCACTCCTGCACCTTGGCTGTTGCTGTAATCGCGTACACACTAGCAAGACCTCATAGCCCCGCATCAGAGACGGCTGCGCTCGCCCGTCCTGATCGAGCGCTATGCAGCGAGGTCAAGTCTGATGTGCATTCGCGCGGCACGGCAAGGCCATCGTCGATCCAGGCGAGCCATTAATAAGTACCCAGCAGTGCCGGTTTCACCGTCTCTCTTATTCCCCCATCTGACAGTGCCAGATCACTCATTCTGCCGCCTCCAATACCGCACAACATGGAAAGATCTGACATCACGACCTATGGTCCTGACCATGCTGAGGACTCTGCCGTTGATGCGACAAAATGGATGCTTTGGTCCGAGGTAGGAGCAAAATTTGATGTGAGTGCTTCATAGAACTGACTTAAATGTCCAGGACGAGTTTTTGTCGAACTGCGGTCTGTCGCCGTCTGATCCAGAGGACCAAGAGACTTACGAAGAAATGAAGGTAGCTATTTTGTTCATCTGTTATAGTCGTCTTGGAGCTGATGAATGCCTAGCAAATTGCACGGACCGGCATTGTGCTGTTGGGAGTCGGCCGTGGCCACACTTTCCAGGAATGTATCGAGAAATATCCGCAAGACGTGTACAAACAGCAACGACTCATATGCCGCTATCACAAAGAGAAAGCCAAGGAGGTGTTTGGGAGGACGTGGACCAACTTGGAGGTGCCGGAAGAAGAATGGTACAACTGGGGATGGAGGGCTACAGTCATGTTTGTCCTGAAGCATGAAGGATCCTGGGATAAACGTAAGTTTGCGACAGCTTTCCTCGAACCATACTGACTAGGATAGCTTCTTGGAAATGGCCAGAAAATTGGAATATGACTCAGTTTATGGGCAAGACTCAACCTCTGGAGCGACAGTGTTGAATTGGGTGAATGCACAGAGTCAGAAGCTGCATCTACTAGTGGAGATAACATGGGTCACCTGGCGAGAGGATCATTTCCGGTTTTTTCTTTTTGAGTCTCCGAGATAGGTTAAAAATTGAAACAATCGGTTGTGATAATGCATGGTCCGAATCCTTTCCACCCCGACCAGTCTCTCATAGACGGGCAGGTGCATGTGCCGCCGTTGCGTAATGTTCTGGGCGCGCCCCACAGGGACTTCCGTGCCCTTGCCTCAGCAAGCTCCTGCGCCCCATGTACGGGGATATAAATATGGCTGCAAGTCACACAAGCTCTGCCCTCCTGACTATACCCACTTTCGCGTAGCCCTTTGCCTACCATACCATCCGTCATGGACGAAATTGACAAAAAAAGCCCAGCCCCAACACCTAATACCTCTTTGATGCAATGTCTGCTTGGTGTTGAAGGAACTTTAGACCAGGTGAGTTCGAGGTCGCTTAATAATGGCATATGCATACTGGGCTACAAGCACCAAAAAAAAAAAAACAGGCTAACTTTGCTTAGAGAGGCACTTCAGAGCACCCTGAAGTCACAGCAAATCTCCAAGCCATCGGATGCAAAGCAGCACTCAGCGACCCAGATAGCTACGATTTTCAGCCACTTTTGGGCCAATATGCACGAAGCGGCTCGGCCATGATTCTCTCCAGTCTCGGTGTCGGCAATCTCATCACAATGACTCCTATCGCAATGGTCATCTTCGGCTTGATCGCAACAGAGTTTGCGGAGCTAGTAGTAGACGAGCACAAATTTCGGGTAGTCGTCGATCCTTGCCTTTACTTAAGATTGTCACAGAAGTCCGAGAAGGAATGGAGGCTTTTTGCTCTCCAATTGACGGATCGGGCGCATTTGTGGAACATGGAAATTTTTGTCAGCAGCCAGAGCTTAAGAGCTTTGTTGTCAGAGTTCAATGGAATTGCTCAACAGCTTTCTGCAGATCCACCCTCTCGGACAATCAGCCCAGCTTCATCCTCTCGGACGACTAGATCGGCTTCACCATCTCCTCAATCAATGCTGCATCCAACACCGCCAGCCGACACAAAGGAGTATAAACTCGAACGTCTATGTACCATGGCTGGATACAAGGAGCTCAGCACCGACCCCTGCGGATGCGCATCAATAAGTTGTTCAGATCTCGTTCTGAGAGCTTTTTTGATTGATCCACCCCGTCCTGCCCCGTTCACCAGGTACCGCAGTCTTATGTACACGGGTGCAGACGGCGTCTGGTTCAACCTTGAAAACGGAGAATGCGTTTTAGGGACCCTCTACCTTCAGAAAGCCGTTGTTCTGGATCGGGCAAGAATACTCTTCGAGGATCCTGAGGTTCTGCATCGCATTGAGGCGGAGTTCTGCGTCATATTTGAGGCCCAGTTGTGGGATGAGGGAAGGGTTGACCTACCTCCGACGACGGCACACCAGCGACGGACCTTTTCGAGCCCCCAAGAGACTGTTGCGGAGATTGCAAAAGCCCTTACGACTGGAAAAATGTCAAGCTGGTATATGCGTCTGCAAAGCCGAAACCAGGTGAAACTGAAGACCAGTTCCTATCGAGGCTGATGAGGGAAGGTGAGGATGGACGATGGACGTATGAATGGTACTTAGGGGCTCGGCAGGATGCTGAAAAGTGTTTCATCTGCTTGTAGTTATCACTTTCCTTGCATTGTAGGGTCAGTCACTCTTTTGGAACGACATTAGTCAGTCAGTTTGATGTGAATTACATTTCCAATTCCCAGAATCATGGTCCAGATCCAGTTCCACGTTGATGAGTTGTTAAAAAAAATCCTCCACTCTCAGAGAGTCCACGTTTCCTATTTACGGGGAGCGGCGGAAGACGCCTGCCAAATGATTGGTGGTTAACCCGCCCGAACGGTGCGTCGAGCATTTGACAGGCCACGAGATCCTCCAACTTCCTTGGTAGACCACTGATGTAATGTGAAGGGATGCTCGCTTCCATGGCTGCTAAAGTAATGCTTACGTTGTAGTCCATGGTTGGTGCCCGAAACTCCACACGCTTTCTGTACAGTGGAAGGCCTCTTAGTATAGTTTCAACACAACGGAGCGGCCTTCCATCAAGCATGAAATAATATGACGACTTAAGGAGATCATCATATAGAGCTCTTCTTCCCTCTTTAGGCATGTCCATGCGGCAAAATATGACACCACTACATACGTACGAGTCCCCGTCGAATATAGGTGCGTCCACGAGCTCGAAGTAAAACATTGATGCGAACATGGCCTGATAAACGCATCCAACTTCAGGCGAAGATGTAATATATTCTTCGGCCGTGTGACGTAGATGCTTCATTGCTGATACATCGTCGATTTCTGGATTAGACTTCCGAGACTAATATTCAAACGGTGATAACGATGCTTTTGGCTCTTAGAGACAGTATTAATAAAGTCTCGCCATGCCTTTTTCCCGTCGGTGCTTCGCATAAAGGATCGAAATAACCGTCTAAGCGTTCTGTCGTGGACATAGCAAGCCTCCTAAACGGTGGCTAGTAAGAGACTAAATGGATCCTAATTAAGCTGCATTGCAGCGATCCTCTGACGTCCTCGCATTGCCGTGCCGGAGGTTTTGGATGGAGGTTGTGTGCGCGTCGGGTGCACGGTATGCAGCAAGCGTGGAAAGTTGTCACAATGACGGAAGGCCTCGACATGACATGCGTAACACGTTGTGCTGAATTGAAAAACGATGTCGTTTGATCAAAACGGTGAACTATCTCGGGTTGTACACAGTCTAAGTTTCCTGCTAGTAAGCCTCAAGAGTGGGGCGAAGCGGCCTGGCTTCTCTCTGAGGATGCAGCCACAGAAATGTCACACCAGCCCTCGAGTTTTTGCACAGTTCCAGGTAGACGCTGGCGCTGATGTAAATCGCTCGACGCACGTACAATGCCTGCTTTGACAGTGTTGGCGCCGTGACACCGGAAATGCTGAGGGGAATCAGGATGTCCTCGCCCACAAGGACTATCCACTGCGACTGAGTGAAGTGCACCATAGTATACTTGGCCGCAGGACACAAAATCTGTCTCAGTGTGCAAAACAGCGTAAGTGCATAGTCTCTTCAACCGAAATATAGGTACTGCACATCTCCACAACACAGCAAAACGGTGTTCGCTTTGTCACGTGACCAGCCTACCCAGCTCCTGTCGTGCAGGAGGAGACAGCCCATCGTTCGGAGAAGCCAGCGCCAGTATTTCCAACCAACCCAGAGCAGAGCTTTGCAATAACGACTGAAAAACACTACCGCGCTTGCATTAGAGAGCCTTGAGCAGCGGGATTTTACTGAAACCTCATTCGGGCGCGCGGGCTGGCGCTTTGCGACAGCGTGCAAGGGTGAGGTATGCGACGAATCTTGGTTGGTGTCTTTCTAAGAAGTACTCTACATTAGTCTGCAAATGCTCACTTTTCTTCAAGATTCCGAGCTGAACTACTCTACATATTGCTTCCACCTCATGTTCCCAAAATGTACGCTTGCAAAGCGATTAGGTCGTCTCTGAACCTCGGACGCCAGCGTGACCTGTTCCGTTCTACTCTGGCGTCTGTGCCGCAACCACAGGACTTGATCGCAATGTGTCTTGCCCTTATCCTACATGCAGCCACTTCACACCAGTGCTTTGTCTCTAATCGCACACATGCCCATCGAATATAAATATCTACTAGGGCTATTTCTTCATTGTCCTGTCTGACTACATTAATTTCGAGTGCGTATCGCCGACCTGGTTTTTTTTTTTTTAGTAGAAAACCCTGACCACATTGGCTGAAAAGCGTTGCCTAACTAGGCAAGCTATACTCAGATCAGTAACACTAACAGACCTCACGCCTGTGAGTGTGTTCGAAACCTATTGAGTAGTATCGGCCAGAACGTGGCAGGATGTTCAGCATGTGAGAAATCAATTCTACTCAACCCATAAAAATCTTTAACGCCGTATGCCGCTCCCATACAACGTGCAAGTTAATACGAGGTAGAAAAGAGACGTAGAATTGGTAACTTATTTATTTCAAACTAATAGGGGATACCTTCACAAAGAAGAAGCCGCTTTTGTGTTTAGTGAAATTTGCCAAGCTCAAATGGTTGATGTAGAGTTTACATCATGTTGAATTTTTTTTCTTTCTCTTGAACGATAAGACTATTGAGTACGGAAGAATTATGAGAAAACAGACAAGCTAGTTGTTGACCAAGATTACCGTCTACAAAGCCATCCGTTTCTTTAGTAGGCCAGAAAAAATACCAAGACGAACGAGCGAAGAATTTCTTGCAATCACAAAGCCTAGCGGCACTGCTAGACATAGTTCTGAAGGTCTGGGAAGTCGTGCATGTTGAGGAGAGTCTTCTTGACAACGGCCTTGACCTCGGGCTTCTGCTCGTCAGAAATACCGCGGACCTTGGGGATTCCCCATTTGTCTCGGATGCGATAGTAGGCGCAAGTGAGTCCACTGGCTGTTCGCTCCTGCTTGGGATATGTCGGCTGCATGCCGTTTTCTTGGTGACGTCGCTTCTGGCCAGCAGGGAAGCGCTCGCGGAACTCTTTTTCGATCCCCTTCCAGGTCATACCGCGCAGGATGGCGCAACCATGATGAAGGCGCGCTCTTCCTCACCGTATGCATGGCGAGGCTCGCGACAAGCGTTGGCACAGGCATTCCTGGGCGAGCCACATGGAGAGCTCTGGTGGTTAGTTGGAGGCGAATCATGGTCCAAAGCGTCCATGGGCTTGCTCTCGATGTAGTTGGTATTTCCAGTGGTGCTTGACCGCGCGTAGGTGGACGTTAAATTGATCGAGGTCCACGGCGAGTGTTGGGTAGAGGCGGTGACGCATGCGCCAGAATCCTGGGCCTGGGCGTGGCCGCCATGAACAGAAGGCGACGGGTGGTTTAAATCTGCACTATGGCCGTAGTAGGTATAGCTGGCAGAGTGGTACGGGCTCTGGCTGGCTCTTCCAGAGGCTGAGCGGCTGCCGGGTGCAATGAAGTCGAGAGACATTCTCTCAAGACCGCGAGAGTTTGGGCTCTGCACAGCAGCCCCCGAATGACAATTGATAGAGGAGGGGCTGATGGAGTTGTCGCAGCTGCCATTGGATGGCGGGATGGATGGACCCTCATTGAGGATGTTCCGGAGATTGCTCATGGCGGATGAGGCAATGCGATGGCAAACGAAGGGGAGATAAATCCAATCTTTTTCGATGACAAAATGGCCTGCGTCAGGTTTGACGCATGTGTTCGGGCTGAGCCTTCGTCGAGCTAAGAGGTAGTGGGAGAAGTTGGAGGCTGGTAGCGTGTCCAGCAGCCAACCGTGCAGCTCTTGATCTACCTACCAAAACCATTTGGTCTGATCGACCCACTGTCGTTTCTGGGTCATAAATGCAAGCTTGTAAGCTTAAGGAGAAAAGCAGGGGTACTGTCAACAGACATACGCTTCTGCAGCCGTCCGCTGGCCAATGCTCCACCAAAAATGACCCCGGTCAAGGACGTTGTGCTTCCGAAGATGCTTTCGGTAGAGGAAATCTTAACGCTCCAGTAC